TCAGGTTTACCATACTTTGTCTGTTTCGTAGTATGGGCGTCGCCTGAGCTTCAGCAATAGCATCCGGTATTACGAGTGTCGGACGATCACGACGACTTAAGCTACCCATCCGTACGTCTCTCGGTATAACCGAGTCCGATCTGTTGGGAGTAGCTGCCTCAAGGTCCTCGTCAACGGGAGGGCCAGCGGAGTCTTCAGCTTCAGCCCCATCCTTGCTGAACGGGGCCCAAGCGATGATGAAGACGCCGGCGAAGGTCGCAGCGCAACCGTATAGGAAAGTGACGATTTGGTGGAAAGAGGCTCGTTTGAAATCGCCATATAGGATAGCTGAACCAACGATGGCCGAGAGGTTGAACATGACAAATTGGGTAGGGACTACGATCTGAACCGCACTTCGTAGTCAGTATAACATAGACAGGATCATGCGAAGAACTTACCTTGCTGTCAAAACGCATGAGAGCACGATTCAAGTAGCGTATTTGGCCAATTCCAGTGCCTAGCAAGACCTAAGCACATTGTTCAGCACATTGTGGGTAAATAATGCGACAGTTGCTATACCGCAATGATAGGATACGTAATCCATTCGGTAAATATCTCTAGCCATTCTTTGGTCAGAAGAGTCGAGAACGCCTTCGTGGCTAAAACCGTAAAACCACCTATGTAGGTTGTTAGCCTTGATAGTCTTAGTAGACATGCATGTTGCACTCACCGAATATGGCACAAAGCCCCACATCAACAAAGACATATCTTTGACCAATACGACCTTCGGATAAGCTTGAAAGTACAAGGGCCGCAACGATATATACGAGCGAGAAGACTATGAAGACCCGCTGCGAGATCGCGCGTAGTAAAGTCTCGGGATCCAGTTGGGTATCAGAGGAGTTCGCAGATAAGACCACGGTCACAGCGCCAACAATAGCGACAAGGATACCAAATATGTCGCGCTTGGGGACTGTGTTGAGCTTAAAGATTTGATCACGATATAAAGAAAGCGTACTTTATGAAATCGCTCTTTCAGCATAAGAGGAGCGAAGAAGCAGTTAGCGATCAAGGCAAACTATTAGCATAATAAGTCAGGTGAATCACGAAAGCCTCTGTACAAATGTTGACATACCGTTCCCAGTGGCGCTACTACGGATGCGGGAGCGAATGCGTAGGAGATGAAATTTCCTACTTCGCCGACATTCATCAAGGTGAACCCTAGCCACCTGAGCATGGAGTTTCAACGAGGCAAATTATAGAGTATGCGGAATGACAGACCATAATTTTGATTTCAGGTAGTCGCTTTCGTTTCCGCCATGGTTTTCTGAACTGCTCTTGTCAGAGTGCTGTTGTCCAATCGCAGATGTGGGTTCTACTGTGACTACATCCACGGGTATTAAAGTGTGTTCGGTTTGTACGCGATCCCTTGACTTCCTCCAGGGAAGGATTCTGCCAAACAAAGGTGCTTTCTTCGCCGGGGTACCGCCAGAGCTCGTCCGGTGCGCGCGCGGAAGAAGAGGCTCCGTCTCCGGAACAGGTGCGAAGACCGATGCCTCTGGTTCCGGCGAGGCGGAAACCTGGCGAAGGGGGAGGCCGGTGGGGGTGAGCTCTCCTTCTTCTTCTTCCTCCTGCGTATGTTCCAAACGACTATCTTGACCCCTCTTAACGGGTCGACCGATTCCGTTACTGCGCCCATCGTTGTTCCGTAACGTCCGCAGCTCCCTGTCCTTCTCGAGGCGTCGGTGTGCTAGCTTCTGGCAGTTGAGGGCGAGAGAGATGAGGATGTTCCCGCTGATTGCAACCGTTATGCCGGCGATGGTTGCGCGACTGAATTGTGGAAGGCCTGGGATATCTATGTCTGCAAAGAGCGTCCTCAGCCACATCTGCTGATCGAGGGAGGTCATGCCTGTGGTGGTGAGATGCAATACTTCAAAAGAGTGAAAGGTATGTTGGAGAATATGAGCCGCTTATGAAAACATGATGACTGCGGGGTTGAAGGATGAGGCTTGCCTCGACGATGCCGGACGCGATGAGCATGAGCGCTGCATTCCGATGTGCAGGAAATCACACGCACGTGGGGCCGGACCGCCCTGTCCTACAGTAGTCGCCTTGCTCAAGTCTCGACTCTCGGCCCAGCTGCTTACACCTTTGACCACGTACTCCCTCTAGCCGACACATCCCACAACGACGAGAAGAGTAGCGGCGCGTAACAGGCTTCAAAATGCGCGTTCAGCATACTTCATTCCCTCTGGATGGGTTCCCCGTCTACTCATCGGCCTTCGCGTCGGACAAACAGCTGATCTTGGGCGGTGGCGGAGGGCAGTCGAAAACTGGGATAAAGAACAAGCTGGTGCGTGTCAGCTACTCTGTGATCCATATGTGTAACCAACTCATTGTGTATTAAGAGACTCTACCGCATTGAGTCTGATAAGCTCATGACCCAAGTTGATGAGCTGGAACTCGAGAAGGGCGAGGATGCACCTATGTCCATGGCAGCACACCATGAAACCAAGAGCATCGTTTGTGGGATCAATAGTGCAGAGGATGCACTGCAGAGCGGCGAGAATCAGAACTGTCGCAAGTTTGCCATCGAGAATGATAAGTACGTCATGCTTTATTGACAGCGCGACCGCACATCCCAACTACTTACCAGGATTACGTTCCAAGCGAGCACGAGCACACTTAAGTTAGGCTCTGCCGAGGATGACTACCAGGTGCGTGGGAATATAGGGCGTGTTGCTCGTCGTTCTGATAAGTAGTCAGAAAGTGACCGTCTTGTCCCCTGATAACAAGTTCGTGGCGGTCGCGGGAACTAGAGACGTGAGTTATCTTTTCGTCGTATCTCAGGCGTAGATTAAACATTCTGTAGTTGTCACTGCTACAGTTTCCGTCTCTGACCCCGGTAGCCCTGCCTATCCACCTAGAAAAGGGCGAGATCTATGATGCAACGTTCTCTGCCACTACAGTTCGTTATTCTACATCAGAATACTGCGTTATCTCGTGTCTCATGCCATCTCCTAGCTGGTGGTGGCTACAACTGTCAACTTACTTGTATACACATTGCCTGAACTAGACGCATCCACTAGCGAGAAAGCAGCGGGGAAGCAGAAGGAGAAATCGCTTGTGGAGTTAGAACTTATCAAGACGGTGGAACGTCCTACGCTACCAGGCGACGATGGCGGAAGTAGCTTCCGTTCAGTGCGGTATCACCCTCAGGATCCCAAGATATTATATACGGTAATCAATACCGTGCCTCCTCGTAATCAGAGGAAGAACGCCCCAAGGCGAGCTTTCATCTGTAAATGGGATACCGAGAAATGGGCCGTTACCCGGCCTCGTAAAGTCTCTGATCGTGGGTTAACGTGCTTCGACGTCAGGTGAGTGGCTTGCGTCCTTTGTCGTCAATTCTCGTCACACTAATCGCCCCGCGCACAGTGCTGATGGTAAATTTATTGCATTCGGGTCTTCGGATTACACGGTCGGAATATTGGATGGGAAGACACTAGCGGTAAGTTTGTGTTTTTGTTTGTAGGAGGTGGATGTTGACGAAGATTTGTAGCCCCTACTTACTATTTTAAAAGCCCACGAGTTTCCACCGACCACCCTGCGATTCAACCCTTCCGCGAGTCTACTTGTCTCTGGTAGCGCGGACAACACAGTGCGACTTATCACAGTACCGGATAATCTTGTGGCAGCATGTAAGTCTATCGATATCCACGCGTTATGTATAGTCTAACCGTCATCCTATAACAGCCTGGAGTTCATGGATTTTCGTAATTGTAACTTTATTGGTGATTCTGTTCGCTACCATAGCCCAGCAGATGCACCAGGCTTCTTATTAAATATATACTATCCCTTATGTCCTTATGTGTTGTGGAATGGATCATCGTGCTACGGAAGATGCTTACAATTCTGTTGCATACCCATTAAATTGCGAAGTAGAATACACTCATAATATACACAGCTACAATCAGTTGTACACCTGCAAGTCAACCCTTAGTCGTAATCGTCTTCTTCGACCAATTTGCGCTTCGTTCCGTTCGGTGCGTCTGCCGCGGACGTAGACACGTCCATGGCCTCGTCCCCACTCTCTTCCTCTTCCTCGCCACCCGAGAACAGCCCACCCTCTCCTTCGCTCGCGTCGTCATGCGCACCCACCCCGGGGGTCATCATATCCACATCCGACGGTGTATGTAGAGCACCCATAGGAGGCGGCACTGCTCGCGGCACGTCTGTCTGCAGCGTGGGCGCAGGCGTAGGTATCGTCGCAGGCTCCATATCCTCATCTTCGTCTTCAGACTCTTCCACCTCTTCAATCTCCTCGTCGTACAGCTTCACGCCAGGCGGTGGCTTGTTAGGAACGAGGTCAAAGTCCACGGACGTGAGGCAGTCAGACGGTGGCGGTAATCGTACGCCGAACACCTCTGGTACGGCCGGCAATGGTACCGCGTTTGTTTGTGCGGCGAGCGATAGCATGTACTGAAAGGAAGCGACGCGTTAAGGATATGCTGTATCGATGTGATAGCTTTGAATGCATACCTCCTTTGGTATCCGACCGCCAAACTCCCATCCCACACGAGCCTGAACACCGAGAACAACATCGTCCAGCTCCACCTTGTTTGGGCGACCGGCGTGCTCTGCGTATACTAGGGCATCGGACAGAACTTGGCTCGTGTATCTGTGCGAGAACTCTAGCAGCTGGTGGAGGACACCAGGTTGAGCATCTTGGACGGTAGGGGTCGACGCGAGCAGTAGCGCAATAGATCGAGCAGTAGGGGGGAGTGTTTCGGCCACCGTCGAACGCGACATCCTGAATATATGGGCGAGTGGATGGTGGCAATTACTGTGTGGCGGTGCAGTGGAAGGCTTCACAATCAATTCCGTACGGGTGCACGTGATCTCCAATCAATGGCCGATGAGTAGCCGATCATTCTCAAGCATAATTCTCAGGAAACGGTTTCTCACTCACTGACCTTCCGACAACCTATTGGGATGTATAGGCCGAAGATCCAAAAAGATGGACACTGAGAGGCTTGAACTCCCGACCTCATGCAAGCGTCAACAACGTGTTAGTGCAAAGCATGCGCGCTACCAGCTGCGCCAAGTGCCCGATGTTTAGCTGTCGCCTACAGAACAACACAATCGTCTGCACACTCTATGGCTTCGTTCCGTCTGGGTACGGTTTACTCATTTTACCATTTCCTTAGCCTTGTGTTCTGTCTTAAGATGCTTTGGATTTTCCCTTCAGATCAAACACAAACAGCTTGGAGGGCACATAGCCGTGAGACAGGTAATAATCGTCACTAGTCTTCATTAGCAGTCATCACAGGACATTCAAGATCTAACTGTACGATAACTAGAAAGCAGTAGTACCTAACCACCAAGATAAAGCATGGACGTAACACCAAGAAATCTCTACACAAGCAAATAGGTGGCAGTCCTTTTACTCCCTCAAGCTCTTCGCAAACTTCATCTTCTCAACTTCCTTCGCAACGCTGTCCAGAGGCGGCAAGACGGGCACAACGCCAGGCGTTGTGGGGGCCGATCCGTTCACCGCCTTCTTGCTGAGTGTCACACCAGCCTTCTTCGCCCGGGCAGACTGGATCTTACGTATGACCTTCGTGCCTCCGAGGTAGAAGAACGCGAGGGGGCCGATGACCATGATGTGGCCGTACCAACCCAATCTGCTCCAGCACAGTATGGAGTCCTTCCAGGTGAGAAGCATGAACGCCGAGGCCATGTAGTTGAGCATGAGGGTCGCGGAGACAGCGCCAGCGAAGTCGTACAAACGCTTAGCGGTTGTCTGTGGAGGAGGAGGGCCGCCGCGTTGTTCGACATATCCAGGAGGGAGGACAAGGGGACGGAAGTTGCTCCTGCAGAGTCGTCCTACGGTTTGAACGAAGCCACCGAGGAGGAACGTCAAGTAGTAACCAGCTGCGATACCATGCTGTGTGACGAAAAAAGGTCAATTCGAAGGATATCAGAGAGAAAGCATATATCGGACGCACCCAGAACGCGCTCGTGAGGAATGTGATCATGCTGCTCTTGAATCCAGGTTTCTTGCCCTTTGGCGTGACGCGCTTGTATACACACTCACGAAGCCAGACGTTGGTCTTCATGTTCCAGGAATCCAACAGGACCTTCATGCTGGGAGCGAATTCAATTATTCTAACGTTCACGTTTGCTGCACCTTCCCAGCGAGTATTTCCACCAGGACCAAAGCCGGTGAATCCTAAGCCCGTAAGGATGGCAGCGCCCTGAAGTCGCTGAGTTAGCAAGCGGTTTGTCAGACATTGTGCAAACACACCTCCGTCAGCGTCCAGATGGCGTAGTATTTCGTGCGCTCGAAGAAGCCACAGAGCTGGAAGAGTGCAATACTATTGTAAACAATAAATGAGATCAGTTAAAAGTCCGGCAAGCTTGTATACGGACCGGTAGAGGATGTTCTTCTTGGCGAACCAATCCTGTGTGGCAACGGCATAGTTGTACTGCCCTCCGAGAGCAACGAACAGCCCAAGGTAAATGAGACCCAAGATCATCTTCCTGTATGCAACGCGTTTGCGCCCGCGAGGCACCGATCTTCCGGGAACTGTCACAGCGGCACGCCTCGCTTCGTCCTCTTTCTCGATCACCTTGAAGACTGATCCATCGACGAGATCTCTGTAGTTGGCGTACTCGATGTACGGGCCAACAAGGATGCCTGGAAAGTAGAAGCTGGAGGAGTAACATGTCAATTGTGTGGTAAGCTGGCCGTCTAGTTAAAGACACGCACGAGTAGCCAAGGAAAGCTAACAAACTGGGATACGCGGTGACGCGCTTTTCAGTCTGCCACTTGTCCAAGTCCTGAGGGCGAGGAACATGAGAAAGACTACACGCGTTTAAATGCTGTAGCTTACCGCGAGCGGTCTGCGGCCATCCTGCACGTTCCAAGCGAACGTGGTCAGCTTCATGACCAAGACCATTTGAGGGCCTGTCACTTCAAACGTCTCATAGCTGAACTGGAATATGGCCCGGATTACGTGGCTGCAGTAGCGATGAGCGCGACTCAAAGCGATAGCTGACAAAATATACGCACTTGACAGTCAAGTGGCCAAACACAATACTAAAAAGGAAGACTGAGGGTCAGTGGAGGGCTGTGGCGTGCAACTCACTGCAATACTCACGCAAAGACCACCCATGGCATGCTTGAGCCCTTCACATTTTTAGCAACGTAGTACGTCACTAATACGTCAAACAGCAGCTGAAGCAGGCCATCCCAGAGATTCAGCATCGGGATGAAATAGAACAACGTCACAGCGATATTGAAAAGATGCTTGAGATTGGGTTGGTTGTCTGGGATGCGAATGAACAAGCTTCCCAATGGATACGAAATGAGAAGACAAGCGATTAGCTATGGATGAAAGGCTGCGGTCAGTACGAACGACCTCATCACGTACTGCTGTGAAATACCTTGATTTGGTCTGCTGAAGCCCCAAGGGCATCAGCCAACGGCGTGAATATGACATCCATATCGCTTAGCAAAGCGCGATATGATGTCTAAGCTCCTTCAGTAAAGGGCGGTGAGCCTTTGAGGATGAGGACGTGGCACGGGCGGGGTTGGAGAAAGGTGGCACAGTGCCAGCAGTCGGCGACTATATATATCAATCTGCTTCTCTGTCGGGATGCTAGTCAACGACCGACGGTGTTATGACGGGTAGCGCCGCGCCAGGAGATGGGGGAGAAGGACGAGACGAACGGAGACCTCGGGGCCCTGTGAAATAGTTGCCCCAAGGCTTCCGCTAGTGCTGCCAAAACGCGTCCCACGTGACTTCCACGTGGAAACGTCCTGTCTTGATATGTGCTATTGTGGCCTCTAAGAGCGTCCACGTTCGTTCCGCCGTGATGAGGAAGCTTACAGCATGTTCATCTCGCATCTTTTGCATCGAGTTCTATATTGTTGGCCGAACACGAAGAGCTCGCGGACGCTGAGGACATTATCGGTATTTTCCTTCCCATGTCCGATACGCCACAGGCACCACTGTTTGACGGAGGCGAAGTATTTGGGGGCACCTCTGTATGTCTCGTTGCTCCATTCGCGGTTGCATTCATCTCTGCGAACATTTTTCTGAGACAGGCTTATCAGAATTTTAGCGGCTTGGTCTATCAGCCATCTGGCAGCCCCTTTCATTCCAAACGTACTCTGCATGACCTACGCAACGAACGACAGAGAAAAACCTCTACCTGCAAGGTTGTGTTGCTTCCATCAAGCATCTTGGAGAATGAGTTGAGCAGCATCGCTGTTAGACCGCATTATTTTTATTCGGTAAGTTTCACATGTCATAGACGATTGCCGAACAACCGCCAGTCAGTGTGCGTCAGCAACAAATTCTTCTAAAATCGTTGTTGAGTGATCAAAGTTGTTTCTTTCAAAACAAATCGTTGTCTCAATGATGCGTGTTCTCTTAGAAACGCAGGTTGGTCAAATTGGAAAGTTTCGTGTGACTATTTTCGTTTTAGGTATATTCCCGCGCCACAAAGATCACTCAAGGCACTTTTTCGGATCAGCGCCCCTGTTGCATTGCGGTGGGCAGTGGGCTAGGCATTACACGAGTGCCTCCACAATGCTGGAGGAATATGAGATATGTACCGTGTCGTCTTTATCTGCTGTAATCTCGCCCATTCGCACTGTTTCAATTAAAGCAGTACAAATGCCTCGTGGCATCGTTAACTTGACAAAGTCGTACCTGTAGCTTGGCGCGAAGCTAAGCTGCGAGACTTAGTACAAGTCCGGCGGTACGCACCCTTATCAGGCGTATCGCTCGGATAGCCTCCGTCCCCGGCGTCCAGGCTCTCTTCGTACCTGTAGACATGACAAGATTCTCGCTTCCTGGTGAGTTCCAGAACAACTTCGTCTTCGGGATCCTCGCTCCTGTGACTCACGGTCTGTATACCACGTTCAAGCCAAGCACATACTAAGCCCCTGAAGCACCGCATTCAAACGTTCGGGGCTGTTCCTATTAGCGGATTGCGTGGGCGAATATCTGAGATAAGGTGCGCCAAGTTGTAGACAAGGGAAAGAATTGAAATATTGTACATATTTAGTGCCATAGCTATGGTCGCAAGAAGGTCATCTGATTCATCAAAGGTCTGGAAGTCAACAGTAATTATGGTATAGAAGGGAATAGAGTGCGTCGCAGGGAAGCAAGAGTCGCAGTATTTCAGAACGGAGATGTGACGATAGGTCAATCCATCATGTTTTCCTTTACACCGCAGGCGCGCCAGTGGGCTGGGGAGGATAAGACACGGGGCCCTTGGGCTCGTGGGAAGCAGCGCCACCCAGGTCGACGCGAGCGGGCACGAACGTGGCCTCGCGAACACTTGATCTCCACACGGGTGCTCCCCTGTTGTTTGCGGTGATGCTGAGGAACAACAGGGAAACAAGGTAGCTGGTGACTGCGAGGGTAAGGGGAGTCAGTCCGACTCTGTGGCGTTTTATGCGATAAAACCACTTACGGATAACCCAGTTAAGCCAGCTGAAAGCGATGATAGCCTTGCCGTGTCCGCAGGAAGAAGTGTACCAGGATGGGAGGAAGAAGACGGAGAGGCCGCAGTCGGCAGAGCCCCAATCATTTGATGACAACGCGGCAGATGTGAGCCAGAGAACCCAAAGTAAACCTAATCATGGGAAAGAGGGGTAAGTTTATGGCATGTCTATTCTGGGACGATCGACGAACCGAGCCACACGAGTTCCACGAAGATGAGTGAGGTGAAAGCACCGCGACGGAGTATATCAACGATCCACCTGCGCGCATTCGGCGTGTCAGTCTCAGCGGTGATACACTATTGTGGATACTCACATGGCGGGGAGGGTCAATATTGTCAGGAGAGCAATGGCTAGCGCAAAGGCGTCGAATCTGAAGTAGAAATCGAATGTAGTCGTCTCAGCGATCATGTGGGCGGCAAGACCCAGGATGATGATGGAGAACACGGTGAGAACACCTGCATGCACGTTTGTAAGGTTAGACACGCTTTACAGAGCAAGTTGATCCAGAGACGCACCGAAAACTACCGTCCTCTTCAGACGGATCCAATGAGGGGCGGCAGCCCCCTGTGGGGCATTTGCGTTCGTGG